ACTGATTTGACATGCCACTTAAATCACTCAATCTTAAACTTCAAGGCAAAGAAAAAAACCTGCCTTCTCTAATGTATTCACGCAGGTTCACATGATTCCTCAGGAAGTCACTAAGAATGTCCATGCGATCATTTTCTACGTATGCAGTATTAATTCTCACAAATAATATGATTTTGGCCTTCATTCCATCCTTCACATTATTTTGGGGGAGGGGGTATGAATTGGGAATATAAAGAGATAGAACACAAAACTCTATGCTCTAGTATTAGACACACTTAACAGCAAGTCAAGAGCTCATGAGTTCTACTCCTTACCCTTGAATTGATTGTTAATATGTCTATGCCCTTCACAACCCACATATTGAGCCAGGGTTTCATATCTTGTTGGAGATAACTATCAGTCACCATTTTACAGATAACTGAATAGAAACCAGAAACAGAGTTATAATAGACCCAAGACTCTTCAACTTTCTAACACTGCATTACAACTAGCAACTACACATACAGAGGTTTCTGAATAAAAATATTTCTGTACTAAGAGATCTGTCTCTTCATCTCAGTAAGTCATTTTTGCACCCAGAGGTCCTGAATAAAGTACACACAGATGACTCAAACGGGCATTTTTACATTTAGCAATGCTATCTGTAACCACTCAATCGCAATCCACTCCCATAGCCACAAATAGAAACCAAGAATACTGGTGCCCGGCATTACACTGTTGTCACACAATTACACATGTAACCTACTAGCAATGAGAGCACTGTAGCATCCTGTATGAGCTGATCCACAAAGGGAACAACATATATCTTCCACACTAGTCTGTGTATAAGCTATAGTGCAAGGGATCTGTACAATGGGTGTAAAGCCACCTGATGAGCCACGTGAATGTGACAAATTGTGTGTGTGTGTGTGTGTGTGTGTGTGTGTGTGTGTGTGTGTAAGTAAAAGACTGAGGACTCAAAAGTGACTGTTAGACATTTTGCAATATAAAATTATTCTATTTATTAAAGTGAATGTGCATCTTGGTTTAACAATGTTATTGTTGCATTTGCATTATCTGTATCAGTTTAATAGGAACTGTCCTTTTAAGAAGACAGAGTGGATGACATAGAGCATGTTTCAGATTAATAAGAATGTATGTACAATTTTACCAGTGTGTACATGGAACAGAAGCCTTATCTACATATGGACCAAAAAGGCCAGAACTTGATTTACAAATATCTTTTCAGGAAGTAAACAAAGCTTGTGGATGATACAAAGATGAGAACCGTTACAAGTCTTCTGGAGGACAGGATTAACATTC